TTGGCGCCTTTTGCCGGAAGGCGACGCTTTCGCAGGGGACGACGAAGGGCAACGCGCTCGCTCGCTCGCTCGCGCTTGGAAGACCCGAGGGGAGGCTGAGGCGGGAGAGCCGCGAGGTGTCAGGTGTTGGTCGCCTCGGAGTCCAGTAGGTCCGGGTAAGGCGCGAGTGCCCGAGCGGCGGGGGCAGGAATACTAAGCGGGAAGAGGGCGGGGTGGGGGTGGGCGAGCCTCCGGACAGTGCCGGTGGCGACTTGCTGGCGGTGCCCGCAACTTCTGCGCGGGTATTTTAGCACCGAGGTTATCACCTGTCCTCACTGTGGTATGATAACACGTTTCAAATACTTGAAAGGTAGTCATACAGAAACTGTTCTCAGTCATCCCAGCGTGCGGGGCACCAAATAATGGGCTCAAGCTACATGAAGCCAGATTTAGGCTGAATATCAGGGACAAACTTCTTAACTGTTAGAGCGGTACAACAATGGAACCAATTACTGTACCTTGGGAGGTGGCAAGCACTCCAATGCTGGAGGCCTTCAAGAGAAAATTGGACAACCACCTGCCAGATCTGCTTTGAGCTAGGTTCCTGTACTGAGCAGGAGGTTGGACTCCATGGCCTCAATTGTTCTAGGATTCTGTCTCACCTCCCACCACTTGTTCTGTCAAAGAAACTGAACCCTGACTTTCACCTTGACAGAAATGGGGGGAACAACACCACTTTTTTCCTAACAATTTTCTAAACATAGATTAGAATAGATGAATGGATCATGAATCCCTTAGTCCACCTCCAGAGGATGAGTGAATTCTTGGCAATGGTTATGAAAAAGCCCCACCTCTCATCTGTCTATCTATTTATTTATTTCAAACGTTTTTACTCTGTCTTTCTCCTTAAAATGACTCAGGGCAGCGGCCTAGAAATGCTGCTTCAGAAGCATGCAAAGTGTCGACTTTGTCCTGAAACTTTTCTGATCTTTCACTGTAGGGATTAAATCTGGTGACAGGGTGTGATCTTTCCCTCCAAGGTTTTAGAGTCAGTGGTGGAAAAGCTCCTCTTGGTCCTTCCTTTCGTGGCTCCTTGGATGATTTATAGGTGGTTTTTAAATGGGCAGTCTTCACAGAGACGGAAAAAGTTTCTTTTTCTTTTTTTACAACAACTCCAGCAGTGCCAGCTGGTATATTCTGTGGTCCCAAAAAAGTAACTTTTCCAGTCTCTGGCAAATTCCTGTTACAAAGAATGTGGCCTAGCACCTCAGCCTTGGGAATCAAACCCGGTCTTGCTGATAACCAAATGTTGGCCCCTGGGTTTCCCAAGAAAGCCACATCTCCTTTCTGGGCACACTATTGTTCCATGATTTTCCAGTTTTTCTACAGGTTTTTCCCTACTGTAACAGGCTGAAATGTTTATCCTAAGTCTTAGGTTTTGGGCCTCATGGCACCGTGGTTAAACCAAAACTCTGCTCATGACCTGGGTTTGTTCACCCTTACATCTTTTTGAACTTGAGTACCCTACTTGCTGTTGTGTATGTGCAATTTGCAGTATGCATAATTACATTCCCAACTGTCCCAAGAGCATTATAAGTGCTATGGGGTGGTATATAAACAGTACATTTTGCTTTTGACAATGAGTACATTAAGCTAAAGAGGTTTTTTTGTCTCACCTTTTGATTTTGGTATTGCCTGCTACTGGAAAGTGATCAGACAGACTACATGCTCTACAGCCAGCTTCCTAACAATGTGAAAGGTAGTTACTCATTCCCAGTATTTTGGAAGAGGGGGCTGTCTTCAAGGTTATCAGGTGAAATAATTCTTGTGGGGGAGAGCAAAATCTATTAATGATACCTATGTATTATTGACCTGACTGGAGTTTTGACACTTCTCTATTATCATTGCATGTACTGGGTGTCTCTATCTTATAAAACCCATAGATTTAGCATTATCATTAGATGCGTACTAAGCTGCCTGCTAGCCAAGTCAGCTGTCCTCAAGGACAAGGCATGGGGTCCTAGTTTCACAGATGGAGACTGCAGTTCTATCACTAGTCTCAGTGATCAATCTGCCTAACCCTTCTTTTTCTGTAATTGGAGTGCATGGATTGAAACCAATGAACTACTGTATATTTGAAGTATACCAATTTTAAGATTCTGGGGAGGAAATTGGGGGAGGAAAATCTTCACCATTACATTCAATTATTTTTTTCTTTTTCTATTCCCAGTCAAGCAGGAGAGTGGTGTGCAAAGCTAGATGGTACTCGGGTGGGCCTCAGTTATGAGCTCTTTGCTCCTCACCTCCCTTCTCTGAATGAGGAAGAATAGAACCAGCTGGTCTCAGCAGGCATGGCATTGCTTGTGCCAGGAGTGGGTGTTTCACTGCTCCTCCCTCCTCCCCATATAAATAAAAACACAGGAGGGCCTAAACTGCATGATCACATCCCTAGGGTCACCACAGACACTGTCAGTATGGAACTCTGCCCCGACGCAATCTAAAAATGGCTCCCCACTACTGCAGCCCCCACTTAGTTATTCATATCAAAATTTGAAGCAGAATTCAGTGGGGAAACTGAATAAGGACGTAACACATATATGTCCCTTTTCCAAATGTATATTTTGTGCCATTCCACATCATAGCCTTCCGTGCCTTGGGGGCATGTCATTTTAAAGACTAGTAAAAATGCTTGCAAGTCAAATGCATCATTTTTGCTTAATACACATGAGTGTGAAGTGCAGCCACATAATGATTCCCACTATTGGAGTAGGGAACAAAGGAAGATGTGCCCCACTGGGAGTTTTGCACTGCAGACCTTATTTTAGACTATGATCTCCATATGGATATGCCAGGGTCAGAAGACTGGTATCTTCAGTTTTCAGAATCTTAGATAACAATGCTGGGATAGACATAAGACCCTGGAGAGCTAATGGGTACTTGTCAAGATGGTTGAATGGTCTTCCTCAGTATAATTATTTTTATTACATTTATATCCCATGTTTCCTCGGTGGGCAAAATACAGAATACATGTTTCTCTAGCTCCCCACTTTAACCTCACAGCAACCTTATAACATATGTCATGTTGAACTATGATGACAGGTCCCAGTCTGGCCACTCATGCTCAGAGGTCATTAGGAAAATGAATCCACCATGTCTGACTGAACCACTGCACCACACTTGAAGAATTAGCTTCTTCTAATTCTTATATGCCTTTGCATAACAAGGATCACCATAGTGCAGGAGCAAATAACTTGTAGTGGTTATATCCACTGCTTCAGTGTGCTCAACACCTCTACCATCTCAGCCTGGAAGTATTTTTAAGAATCATCCCTATATTTCCAGCTGCTACTAGTTGAAAGCATTTTGCTGCCTAAAACAGATTTTGAATGGTCATTCTATCCAGTTATCATAACTTCCTTGCTAGGACCAACACTTGAAAAAGTTAGTCTAAATAAGATTTTAAACAATAGAGTTTAGGGGGCATCTTTTTCAGAAACCACCTTCCAGTCAGGAATTCTTTGGTAAGTTAATATGCTAAGATTCTCTGTGCTATTCCAGTGTACCAAACAAATATTGTGTTAAAGCTTGTTTTATACATCCTTCTGAAATGGGTAGAGGTAGTGTTTGATTTGTCAATGACAAAACTGTGAGCTCTTATTTGGAAAAGTTACTTTTCCAGGATCTAATATGGTTAGGACTGGAATTGTGATATGAACTGCAACTGGGCTAATATTAAGCTCCCACGTCTTAGTTCTGATGAAAATGTCCACCTGTATGCATTGACTATTTCTTCCATGATAGTGAATGATCACCAACACTACTTGTTTAACATAATAGAGTACTGTAGAATTGGAAGGAATACTGTAAGTGGTCATCTAGTCCAGTGGTTCCCAATAGAGATGTGGGCTTCGTATTTGTCTTCCATATGAAGCTCACCACCACAAGTGACAAGCCTTCCCCCTGAACTGGGCATCCACTTACCACTTGCAGTGTGGCTCACAGGGTTGTTGTCCTTCATGCCACACCAATCATGGAAATAGCCTGACCGGGGCTTCCTCACCTCCCCGCACTGCTGGCCAATCAGCAGATGAGCGAAACGGTTTGTCATCCTGCCTGGATTGGTCAGCAGTGCAGGGAGGTGGGAAAGGTCCTGCCTGGCTAATTCCATGATTGGCACAGTGTGAAGAACGTTGGCCACGGGCACCATGCTACAAGTGTTAAGTGGATGCGTAGTTCGGGGAGGGAGGATCCATTTGGACTTGGCACCTGTGGTGCTGAGCGTTGACGAATATAAAGCTCTCGTTTCTAGTTGCCAGCCTTGGGTAACCCAGGTGTCCCTGGACTGCAGCTCCCGGAAACCTCAGGCAGCCCAGGTGGTAAAGGGTTCTGGGAACTGTAGTCCATGAACAACTGGATTTCCTAAGATTGGGAACCACTGATCTAGTCAAACCCAGTGCCCAATGCTCTATAATAACCCAGTGCTCTATAACAAAGAGTGCAGTTCTAATTTCTGCTTCAATACTGCCATTTAACACTCCCCAAGGCAAGTTGCTGAACAACTCTCACTGTTTGGACAATTTCTTCTCATGTTTAGCTAAATCTGCTTCCTGGCAATTTCCACCACTGATCCTAGTCCTGCCTTCTAGAACAACAGAGTAAGTCTACTCCAGCTTCTGCATGACAGCCTTTTAGATATTTGAAGACTGCTGTTATGTCTCTCTTTAATCTTCTCCTTTTCAAGTTAAACATACCCAGCTCTTTCAACCATTCCTCATAGAACTCGGTTTCCAGACCTGGCTGCTCTTCTCTAGATGCATTCCAGTTCATCAATGGACTTCTTAAAATGGGCAGAATCATGCAGAAATACTGCTTTCCTTGATTTGGGAACTATGCTTCTCTTGACATAGCACAAAATTGTATTAGGTTTCTTAGTAGTAATATCACATTCTTAGATCAGGAGATGGGTAAAAACTATATTGTTTGAAGAGGTCTTCAGAAACATCTTACCCCTTTGACATCCTTGTGGACTCATGAACTGGATATTGATTTTGATTGGCTGACTAGGTTTATTTAATATTCTGGCTGAAGAGCTCTCAGAACCACTATCCACTATTTTCTTGAAATCAAGGGAAACGGGTGAGGTGCCAGAGGATTGGAGGAGGGCCAATGTTCCTATCTTCAGAAAGGGCCAAAAAGAGGAACTTGGGAACTATAGTCAGTCTGACATCAATCCCAGGCAAAATTCTGGAACAGATCATAAAGCAGTCATTGTGCAAGCATACAGGAAACAATGTAGTAATATCTAGAAGCCAACATGGATTTGTCAAGAACAAATTCTGCCAAACTAATTTGATCTCATTTTTTGATCAGGTAACCTCCCTGATAGGCAAAGGGAATGTTGTAGATGTAGTATATCTTGACTTCAGCAAAGCTTTTGACAAAGCGTCACATGATAGCCTGATTAGCAAGCTAACTAGGTGTGGGCTGGATAGATCAAGTGTCAGATGGATACACAATTGGCTACAGAATCGTACTCAGATGGTGATGATTAATGGGTCCTTCTCTAACTGGGAAAAGGTAACTAGTGGGGTACCCCAAGGCTCTCCTGGGCCTGGTGCTCTTCAGTATTTATATTAATGACTTAGATGAGGGAGTGCAGGGAATGCTTGTCAGATTTGCAGATGATACCAAATTGGGCAGAATAGCAAATACCCTAGAAGACAGAAACAAAATTCAAAATGACTTTGATAGGATGGAGCAGTGGGCCAAAAGCAAAAGAATGAAATTCAACAAAGGATAAGTGTACTGCACCTTAGAAAAAGAAATCAATTGCACAGTTACAAGATGGGGAATACTGCAATTGAGAATATGAGCCAACAGTGTGATGTGGCTACAAAAAAGGCAAATGCTATTTAGGCTGCATTAATAGAAGTATAGTTTCAAAATCCTGCAAGATGCTAGTCCCCCTCTATTCAGCACTGATTATTGTACCTTGAGTATTGTGTCCAGTTCTGGACACCATACTTCAACAAGGATACTAACAAATTGGAACAGGTTCAGAGGAGGATGACAAGGATGATCAGGGGGCTGGAAACCAAGCCTTACGAGGAAAGGCTGAAATAATTGGGCATGTTTAGCCTTGAGAAAAGAAGACTGAGGGGTGATATGATAGCACTTTTCAAATATATGAAAGGCTGTCCTACAGAGGAGGGGAAAGATCTGGTTTTGATCATCCCAGAGTGCAGGACACGCAGCTATGGGCTCAAGTTAATGGAAGCCAGATTTCCGTTGAATATCAGGAAAAACTTCTTAACTGTACAACAGTGGAACCGGTTACCTTCGGAGTTGGTGAGTGCTCCAACACTGGAGGCATTCAGGAAAAACTTAGATAATCACCTGGTAGATATGCTTTGATTGTATTCCTGCATTGAGCAGGGGGTTGGACTTGATGGCCTTGTAGGCCCCTTCCAACTTCACTTTTCTATGATTTCTATGTTTTATCTGAATCTCATTATTTGTGTCCCTGTGGGCTAGGCTGGATAGTTGTGTTTTAAACTAATGTTAGCCACCCACAGTAGTTCTTAAGCAGTTGATGGGTGGGGTATAAATTGAATAAATGAATACTATTCAGCTAGTGAAGGGGGCTGACAGGTGAATTATTTCTAGGTAAGCGGTATGAGAGATTACATGCAAGCAGTAGGAAGGGCCTTGTCCCAACGTAGATGGAGCTACTGTATTCTACTGGTAACATGTGGCCCTCCCTTGCATTTTCCGAAGCCTACTTTAGAGGTGTATGTACTTACACTACGGTACGTTACACACTTGTCTTTCCTTCCTTCCTCAAAATACTCCCTTCAGTGTGGATTGCAGTGTATTATTAAAAGCCTGACTTAAGATTGATAGCATTTGGGAGGGTTACTGCTGGAGAAGATAGCCTTAACCCTTACTATCCCCAACAGTCATGCCCTCTTGTACTGAGGGCTTTTTAGAATCCTGACTGCAGGTGGGGAGCAGTCATTCCCTTGGAAAAAAGGGAATGAGCCTTTCGATCCCCAGCTACTCTCCTGTGATAATATCCTCACCAACATTTTGCAATTAGATTTTTGAAACTCTCTGTTGACACCACCAGAGGCTTTTTAAAGCCATAGTGCAGCATGTGGATGGAATTTGTTATGGGTAGAATAGCAGTAGCTCTTGCTTGATCCTTAGTATATGCAGTGCCTAGTCAGTAAATTCTTGGCCCTCACCACAATAGGGGAAGAACTTGGCCTGGAGTTCCCCTGCCACTGAGTTCTGCTGTCATTTCCGTCCTCACAACAATCTGAGCTATGGCAGCAGGTGCAGTAAATTGATCCTGTTATCTAGTCTGTATGACTTTCTATACTAATCCAGGAAAAGAGAGTGCTACTTCCTGAATACCAGCCTTGAAAACACACTTGGAATTATGTTTCCATTTAGGATTATGTTATCCCTTCCATCTATATTTGTTATTAAGGGTATAAAATAAGTCTGATGGAGTGTTTTCTCCCAAAACTCACTTTTTGTCACTGTTAAAATCCTTTGGATGGATTACTCTAGTATGTTTAAAATGGATTTCGAAAGTATTGAAAGCAACAGTGACAGCAGTAACAGCATGTGTAGAATGCTAAAGCAGATGTGTTGGTCAATAAACAACTCCAAAATCCAAGTTGTGTGTTAAAGTTACATGTCCAACTTTTAAAAATGGCACAAAACTATGCATATGCTCAGTGGAGGTGGGGGATTACCACCCCTTTGTCAGGTAAAATGGTACAAAAAAGTGAGGGAAGGAAGGAGCAAAAAAGGGAAAAGAAAGAAACAGGAAAAAATCTGTTGAGCCAAGGTATATTTTAACAATTTAATTTTTTCATTGTCAACGTTAAAGTTCTGCAGTTCTTCTGTAGTCATAATTTTTGTCTTCTTAACGTTCAGCTGCAGTCTTGCTTTGGCACTTTCTTCTTTCACTTTCATCAAAAGATAATTCAAGTTCTTGCTGATTTCTGCCAGTAAGATGGTGTCATCTCTGTATCTTAAATTATTGGTGATTATTTTCCCAATTTTCACTTTTCCTTCATCTGAATCTAGTCCAACTTTCCATATGATATGTTCTGCATACAGACTGCAGAGATGGGGAGATACACTGTTGTCTGACACCTTTGTCTATAGGAAACCACTCTGGCTCTCTGTATTCTGTACTAATAGGTGCTTTGTGTCCACAGTACCTCAGGACAATCAACCCATTTCTTTCACAAGAACCCAAAGATTCTCATGATCCCCACAATCAAAGCCTTTGGTGTACTCTAGATGTCCAGAACACCTGGTCCATGGCACATGGAAAGTCCATGAACTGTGGGCTCTTCCCATAGATAAGATACTGAATCACACCCTAATTGCTGAAACTATGAAATCTTTTTAAAACCAAAGGTTCTCACATCAGCAGCATCTCATTCACAGATATTTCAAGGTCAAAAATGATGGTCTTGTTATATCATAGAGGCTGGATCTTTTTGGAATAATTGGAAAATGGTAACCAGAATTCTGTGGGTGGTTTATAGTTGTGTAAGGGAAATCATACATAGTGACAAAATGCCATTCATTAATGAAGTGCTAGTTGCAAGGCACTTTGCTATCATGACTAGAGCACAGGTGGACATAACGAGGGTTATGTCCATTCACCCTTCCACTGCTGCTGCGGGCTCCGGGCTCCCTTCCTATTGCTCCGGAACTCACAGTTGACTAGACACTCGTGGCAGGAGGCAGGATGACGAGACGTGGGCACATGCATAGAGAGGGCAGGCCTTGCTTTCAGGCAGGAAGCCAATGCCGCTGGCTCCAAAGATGGTGACACTGGTGGAGGCAGCAGTATAAGTTAAGAAGGCAACGGAGGCAGTGGGAAGGGGGTGGGGAGCAGAGGGAAGGAGCTGAGGAGACAAGTTGTGGGAGCAGGAGATCAGCTGAGGCAACTGACCTTTTTCTTTTTTTTAAAAAAAAAGACAGTTACTGGACTGTCTAAAAAAGAATAGTGCTGATGAACCTACGAACCAGTTCGTGGTTCATCAAGTAAAACTTGGGAAATTCATGATTTGTGGTTTGTCAGTTTCGATGAATCACAAACCAAGACAAACTGTGATTTTGCTAGTTCGCGCCCATCTGTACTCTGGAGTTTTTATAAGAATGTAAGAAACTTTCACAGAATGAGTTACGTTTTTTTCATTGTTCTCCAACAGAATATGCAAAAAGTTTGGAATAAATTTCACCTTAAATGTAGTTTCTAAAATGTAGAAATAAAATTGAGACATTTGTGTACTTTCTGTATCAGCAAATCAAGAAAGCAGAAGAAGTGTGTTGAAGATGATTTGCAGAGCTGGACATGCAGTGTGACCAAGTCTTCATAATTAAAAATTAAGCAGTGGAAGCTTGAATTCAATACACTACATTAATATGATCTGCATCCATAATTTATTCTTTAAAATGGATTAACCTTATAAATGCATGGTAAGTTTTAAACTCCCGTCTCTGTTAGTCAAACAAAGTATTTCTCTTCATGGAAGAAGTATGAGGGTGCATTAAATTTCTCAAGATGGGTCCTATGTGGTATTTAATTGATGAAACTTGCTACATACTGACATGTGTAGTAATTCTAGATATGTACATGTTTTCAACATGCATGTAAAATCAAGCATCTGGGAAATTATTTTTTCACCAGGCTTTACGACGACTCAGGAAAGTTTTCGTCTCTTCTTTTCCCTACTTATACCAGAAAATCTTCCTTCCTTCTTTCTCTTACCATGATTCATAAATGGTTTTGGTTGTTTGCCTTGATTGTTCAAAGTATTTTTCAAAGAAAAAAATTAGTAGAAGTTGGTTGTACTATCTTCATTTTAAAAATGCTTGATAGACCATGAAGGGTTTCAGTGGAAAGCAAGAAACAAGTAAAGGCCTATTCTATAAGGAATGCTTCTAAATCCAAGCATATATTAGCCATGTTTTCAACAAAAATAAGCTCATGGAACAGTAAAGCATTAATGAGTGAATAAGTACTAAGCATGACAAATAATATAATTCCATTTTACTACCGACTTCCCACCAGCAGAGAGGTATGAGAAAGCAGCTAAGCAATGATAAGCACTCTCTACTTTTACCTATATGTACTCGAAGTCATATTTTATGTAATAGACGTAATCTATCTCACTTTTGGAGACATAGGACAGAATAATGTGATAAATATTGGATACACGAGTTACTGTGGTTACAATTAGCATTTATTTGCTAATACTGTACAGAGAAACACATTTATTGTTTATTAAAGTTTATTATTTTATATACACATGATATTTATTTTATTATTTTATGTACAGATATTTTTTGACTGTTTAGCACTCTGTGAGTGCTAAAGTGAAAAAGGGTTAAATCATCTCTATTTTTTTAAAAAAAATATTTGTTTTCTACTCATTTGGAGACTGGTCATTATAAACTAATCTAGATCTGCCTGTCTACTAGGTGCCTGGTAATAATTGTTTCTTCACTCCATCCAGTTTATGGGGTAAGTTACATTATTGCAAATATTCCTGTTTCTCTTCTCTCATCTATTTCATAGGTACCTATCCATTTTTAGATAATGTTTCTAAGGAATGATATTGAATGTTTACTTTCATTTTCTCAACAAAGCTGTTGAAACAATAAAAGAAACCAATTTTTTAAACCGTTTTACTAGCAATGTAAAAATTTCATGTATGTAAGTTTGGAGAGATTTGTCGGTGTAGTTAATCATATGACTCTACAGCTCTATGTGTATTTACTATTGAAATCTTTTATTATTGTTGTTGATGTTGCTCTTGTTACTTATCCTCCCACGTTTATGTTTCTTGAAACTAATACATTACAGTAAGAAACAAAATAGGAAAATACTGTGTAGATACTAACAAAAAACTGAAGTTCAATACACCCAGAATTTCACAAGAAGAAATTAAGAACATACCGTTCGAAATAGTTTTGTACAGATATTTTTATGCAGTGAGAGTGGGTGTTTACTTATTTATTTTATTTATTTATTTTATTTATATCCCGCTTATCTGGTCAGTTACGACCACTCTAGGCAGCTGGTGGTGTTTGTCTTGGTGGGCATGGAGATCTGGGGCACAGGAGACTTGAGTAACATAGATTTAAACTAAGATGTAAATGTAAGTTAAAACCTGGAGGGCAATCAAATTCATGAAAAGCGGAAAGTCAATTTGATATTGCAACATGAATAGATTTTGTGTTCTCCGCCTCCTTTTCTCTCCCCCCATATCCCCCCTTTACCTTCTGTACCCTTTAACTTATTCCAAGTTGTTAATAATAATAAAAAAGATCTGGGACACAGGCCATGGCAGTTGTCACAGTTGTGCCTGAACTTGTGACAAGCCCTATGACACTTTCCCCAGTTGCACTCCCAACACATTTAATGAGACTTGCCCTTCCTAGATGCCCACCTTGACCCTATGGCCAACTCAGCCTTTCCCCTTATTGTAAGGCCAGACTATTATGAGCTACAGTCTGCCCCAATTTGTCCCTTACACACGTCCTTTCTAATGTTCTCACTTTGTGACACCCCTTTGCCTCATTGCTGTCTGTGGCAGCCATATCCCGAGCCAATGCCCATGTCTGTAAAACATTAGATAAGAGGTTGAATAAGTGCCGGCCTAAGGACCATCCCCATAAACGCAGTGAATCCTGCCAACCAATTGTTTAAAAAGTGTTCCATAAATCTCCACCCAGCACCCCTTCCAACACTTCTTGGCCATGAGCTGCAGAAGTTTCACTCAGTTCTTCCTCCTCTTGTGCTGCTACTTGCCTGGCTCCTCTGCATCACTATCTGAGGTAGATTCCAACATGGGAGGCTTGGCCCTCCTCATGCATGCAGGACCTGATTTGGCCATGGCTACATGGCGTATTCCCACCTCCTTGGCTTAATTCTGTGGCCTGACTGGCTGGGTCCTTAGCTGCTTTACCTTCTCTACTAAGCGTGCAAGAATCTATGTTAATCCTTGCATAAATTGGCCAGCCTCAGTTACTGAGGCCTCCACTTGACCCTATTCAATACCATTACTAGCAGGCAACACTGCAGCCTGGTCCTTGGACAGTTTCTCTGTACCAGAGCTTCTCATGCCTTCTTTTTTTTTTTTG